AAAATTAGCTGGGCTGGTGGTGTGCACCTGTAATCCCAGCTACTCGGGAGGTAAGGCAGGTGAATCGCTTGAACCTGGCAGGTGGAGGTTGCAGTGAGCTGAGATTGCGCCACTGTGTTCCAGCCTAGGCAACAGAGTGAGACTCCGTCTCAAAACAAGAAAAAAAAAAAGAAAAAGAAAAGAGAAAGGAAGAAGGCATTTACTGAACATTTTCCACATGCCATTATGATAATTAACAGTAACAATTGCTCTTTCTCACGCTGGTAATCTCAGCACTTTGGGAGGCTGAGGCAGGAGGATCGCTTGAGGCCAGGAGTTTTGAGACCTGCCTGGTCAACATAGCGAGGCACCGTCTCTACAAAACAAAACAAATACAAAAATTAGCCAAGCATGGTGGTGTGTGCCTGTGGTCCCAGCTACTTGGAAGGCTGACGTGGGACGATCGCTTCAGCCTAGGAGTTCGAGGCTGCAGTGAGCTATGATTGTGCCACTGCACTCCAGCCTGGGCGACAGAGCAAGACCCTGTCTCAAAAAAAAAAAAAAAAAAAATTTGCTGTCATTTATTGAGCATAAATGAGTATTATGGGCCAAGCACTATGCTAAACACTTTACTTATATAATTTCATTTACTACAACAACGCTATAACGCAGGTACACTGGGGAAACTAGGCTCAATAGGTTCAGTAATTCTCCTAAACTCATGCTGGAATTTGAATCCTGGTCAGCCTGACTCTAATGTCTGCATTCTTACCTATTACACCACCTTATCTTCCTATAGTTAGAACCTATCATCTTCACATCAGCCTCAGTGGGCAGACAATATGATCTTCATTTCATGAATAAGGAAACTGAGATACATTCAGTAACTTGTCCAAGGTCACAGGACTAGTAGATGTCAGAGCTGGAATTTCACCCCAGGCTTGTCTGACTCCAAAATCCATACTCTTTCCACTGTATTTCACATTCTTTCCTATATAATAACAGAGGTAATGTGGGTCCATGTGGCGAGTGGGTGCTGGAGGACAATGATGTGAGGCATGAAGGGTATGGAATGCGGTCATGGGGCATGTAGTGTGGCCTGGGGAATGTGGTGAGGCAAGAAGTCAGGCAGTAACTACAGTTGGGGCTGGGAAGGGGAGTGGGAAAGTTTGAGGACCCTCAGACTGTCAAATATGCCAGGAGTACAGAGATGGGAAGACATGACCAGGGGTCAGATGACACATGCCGGGAGCTCTAAGCAGAGAGGGAAGACAGCAAGGAGGAGGTTGGGAAGTTCAGTCCCCACTTGTTCTTTGTTTTTTGTTTGTTTGTTTGTTTGAGACAGAGTCTCACTCTGTCACCCAGACTGGGGTCCAGTGGTACAATCTGAGCCCATTGCAACCTCCACCTCCCGCGTTCAAGTGATTCTCCTGCCTCAGCCTCCTGAGTAGCTGGGATTACAGGCACTCACCACCACACCCGACTAATTTTTGCATTTTTAGTAGAGACAGGGTTTCATCATGTTGGCCAGGGTGGTCTCGAACTCCTGACCTCAGGTGATTCACTCACCTCGGCCTCCCCAAGTGCTGGGATTACAGGCATAAGCCACCGCGCCCAGCCCCCGTTGTTCTTAGAGCAGTTTCTGCCCAGAGCCGGGAATGTGCTTGGCTCCTTGTGATGCTTACATTTTTGGACTCACAGCCAAGTTCACAGGCCAAGCCTGCCCTCCCAACTCCCATCCAGCTCTAGCTCCTCCATCATTCCCAACACCACAGTGACCCTCGGAAAGCAGCCCAAATCATCCTACTCAGGCCCACCATGGCAGAAAGTGTAGAAAGCATAGGCTAGAAAGAAGGGACAGAGAAGTAGCTCAGACCCACCAGTCAGGCTGGCCACAGGATACTACAAGTTGGCAGCCCCACAGGGCTCAAAGGAAAAGGGAATATGTGGACCACATGGCACAGCCTGCTTTGGAAAGGGTCTGCTTGTGGGGGGGAAAATTGCTGCTGAGTCCCTACCTCCCGGGTCCCCTGGCAGGCCCCACCACACAGCTCCACACTACATATTTCCTCTCTTTCTGGGGGTCATCGACAGGCCACCAAGGCTCTGCTGACTCAAAACAATCAGCTGATCTTCGGCAGCTTTGGGGAACCTCAGACAGGCCTCACTCTCCCACCATGGAGCTGAATGGCTGGGGGTTACATAGCACTTACTCACACACACTTACACCCCAAATGGAGTCAAATAAATAAGGGCTCAAATTCCAATTCTACCACTTATTGGCCCTCTTATCTTACAGAAGTTTCTTAATTTCTCCAAGCCTTTGTCTCGTCCTGGCAAATGGGATCCTTAAATGCCTGGTATGATTCAGGCATACAATAAAAGCTAGTTATATTGTCAATCTTTAGCAGGATCCACACACTATTTCTAATTACATATACATTTTTAAGGGCAGAGCAAATAAATCTGTTTATCATTCATTGTTCATCCAAGTAAAATGCTTTGGCTGGCTGGGCACGGTGTCTCAGCCCTGTAATCCCAGCACTTTGGGAGGCCAAGGTGAGCAGATCACGAGTCAGGAGATCGAGACCATCCTCGCTAACATGGTGAAACCCCGTCTCTACTAAAAACACACACAAAAAATTAGCCGGGCGCGGTGGCAGGCGCCTGTAGTCCCAGCAACTCAGGAGGCTGAGGCAGGAGAATGGCGTGAACCCGGGAGGCGGAGCTTGCAGTGAGCCGAGATCGCGCCACTGCACTCCAGCCTGGGCGACAGAGCAAGACTCTCTCTCAAAAAAAATAAAATAAAATAAAATAAAATAAGATAAAATAAAATAAAATAAAATGCTTTGGCTGAGGGCCCAGTGGGTTTTAGGTCCTGAGCTTGCTACCGTAGGGATCTCATGAAACATCAGACCCAGAGCCTGCCTTGTTCTCGGAGAGACTTGGTCCAGTGGACAGTTCACGGAAATATACTGCAATCCAGGAAGTGGTTGGAGCCATAGGAGCAGCACATGTGTTCACTGGATAGACATCTGCTCAGTGCCACACAGGTGTCAGGATATAAAGATAAAATAAGCCAGGCTCGGTGGCCCATGCCTGTAATCCCAGCACTTTGGGAGGCCAAGGTGGGCGGATCACTTGAGGTCAAGAGTTCATGACCAGCCTGGCTAACGTAGCAAAACCCCATCTCTACTTAAAATACAAAAATTAGCCGGGTGTCATGGCACACACTAGTAGTCCCAGCTATTTGTGAGGCTGAAGCAGGAGAATCGTTTGAACCCGGGAGGCAGAGGTTGCAGTGAGCCAAGGTCACACCACTGTACCGCAGCCTGCGTGACAAAGCCAGGCTCCATCTCAACAACAACAACAACAACAACAAAAAGGGATAAAATAAGAGATAAGAGTGCCATGACAGTTCTCATGGAAAAGCTCAACCCAGAGGGCAGGAGAATTTGAATCTGGAGGAGACAGGGGAAGAAGAGTGCTATAAGTGGAAGGCCCAGAGGGAGGACAGTGTATGACATGCAGCAGGGAGCCACACAGTTAATGACCTGGTCGCCATGCTGCCCCCTCTCACAGCTCAAGGCCAGACTAGCAGTAGGTCCTTTACTTCCATGAACCATCCACCATGCCCTCAATGCTGAAAATGTTTATCTTTCCTCCATTTCTCAAATAACTTAAGATGACAGGCTGTGTGCAGTGGCTCACACCTGTAATCCCAGCACTTTGGGAGGCTGAGGTGGGTGGATTGCTTGAGGTCAGGAGTTTGAGACCAGCCTGGCCAACATGGCAAAACTCCATCTTTACTAAAAATACAAAAATTAGCTGGGCATGGTGGCACATGCCTGTAATCCCAGCTACTTGGGAGGCTGAGGCAGAAGAATCATTTGAACCTGGGAGGCAAAGGTTTCAGTGAGCCGAGATCGCACCACTGCACGCCAGCCTGGGTGACAAGAGAGAAAATCCTCAAAAAAAAAAAAAAAAGAAAGAAAGAAAAGAAAAAAAATTTAAAAAGATGGCTGGGCCTACCCTGAGCTTGACAAATGCTTTTGGAGACCAGATGGGACTTGGGGGGTCCTCAGGCCTCACAACCAGAACCTCCAAGGCTGAGCCAGGAGTGAAGAAACTGGAGAGATAGCAGCCTTCCTCCTCTGACCCATCTTCCCTTCTGTCAGTTAGGGTCACTGGCCTCCGCCAGTGATACTATTATGCTATCTATTTCATAAGGCTGTTTTGAAGATTAAATGAGTGAAGATTTGAAAAGCATTTGGATTAGTCCCTGGCACACTAAGCATAAAAGGCGTGTGTTAAATAAATGAAATATATATATATGCTCTTCAGCTATTAGCCCTCTGTGACAAGACAGCCCTCTCAGGTCCCCTGCTCATTTATCCTTCTGGGGATACAAACAAAATGTATGTCCTCCACTTCATTTTTAATACTGTTTTCAACCCTGCTAAAATGGTCCAACTCTGATTTTGGTTCAAGTACCACTGATGTTTGCAAGATGGCTTCAGGTGGCACACAGATTACCGTTGCTTAGTTCAATCGTTAAATATTTATGTTAAATATATTTTAGAAAGAAATAGAAAAGTCAGATGTATGGTTTCATATTATTGCTTGGCTCAAGCTAAGAAAAAGAATGAGTGGACTGACAATGGATTTAAAGAAAAATATTAAGTAAACAGTGACTGGATGTAATGGGGGCCCTCTTATAACTGCAGTTAGGCCTGGCTCAACAGCAGCCTTGGGATTGGGAGAGCAGCCCAGAGTTGTCCAGGCTTAGGAGGCAGGGGCCAGGCCCAGTGGGTCTAGAGATAAGTGGGGGGTGGAGAGACAGCCTATCCTAGTCCCTCAAGGCATCTGGATCTGAGGTGGCCCCAGGGCACTGGACTCTGGTTGATCTTCCCCTTTTCCTTGTGTGGGGGCAGTAGCTTGATCCCTTCTAACCCTATTCTTCTCTTGCCAGGCCAAAGCATCCACCCGCTCACACAGACCCCTTCCAGATCCATTCCTCCTCAGAATCTTCCAATCAGAGGTGTCTGTCTCTGGGCTGAAGGCAGACAATCATTATCACAGCAGAAGCACCCCACCCCAGGGCAGGAACAACAACAGAAACAAGAATAGTTAGAATCTACATAGCACTGCCCACTGTACAAAGCACTCTCACACACATGATTTCACGGGCTCATCCAACCCTGAGTTTCAGGTGACAGCAAAACATGCCAGGCATTAGACAGAAGGTGCTTGCTTCCTAGTGCTAGGTGGGCCAGGGGCTTGGGAGAGAAGCCCGACAACTGAACACTCGGGAGGAGAAAGACTCCTCTTGGCTGTAGGGCCTCAGCTCCAAAAAGCAGTGCAGGCCTCAGGCTAGGGCTGGAGAGGCAGCCTTCAGGCCTGGAGGGGCCTTCCCCACCGCCTCCAGGCCCAGCGCCCAGTTAATGAGACGGCAGGCAAGTGTGGGGCGCCTCCCCCTCCCCCAGTCTCCTGGGAGTTGGGGGGGGTTCGAGGGGATCAGCCAGGCCCCCCCTTCCCAGGCCAGCTGCTTCAGAACCTTCCGGCTCCAACATTCCATCCCCTCTTAAAGGGGAAGTGCTTCCAAACTCTGCCTGTCCGGATCTCTGCAGCTGGGTGGAAGGGAAGACCCCACCAGCGAGGGGAAGATGGAGAACACCAAGAAACTCTTTCTGGCCCTCCCACCCAGGCCCCAGGCCCTTCCCAACGTCTCCCCACTGGCCACCATCTGGAAGAAAAAGACCCAAATTGGAGGAAAGATCAGCACCTGGGTCAGTGAGGACGCCTACTGAGGGGTCAGGCTCTCTGTTCCGGTGACAACACCCCCAACGGCCCACAAAGGAGAGGGGAGGCAGCTAGATAAACATCAGATCTGCAGACCCCGCTCACCGCCAGGCGCCCGAGCACCCCCGACACCCCTCCCCCAGCTCAAAGTCCCAGCAGAGCCCTCAGATGCAGCATACTCCAAATATGGCTGGGAGCTGTGCTGCTGAAAAGATGAAGGGGGCGAAGAACGAGGGTCACACAACGCAAGTCTGTGCGGAAAAAGGTGGCTCTGGCTCCTCGGCAGGAGGAGGATGGGGGACTCGGGCTCTGAAACTAGGTGGAGGGGGTGTGTGTCTGTCTCTGTGGGCCACTGGTCTCTGACGAGGTAAGGCGACCGCACCGGCAGGAACTCTGCTCGTGGAGAGTTGGACGTCCCCTTAAACAAGGGAGGCCAAGAGCCCCCCTTCAGAGGTGAACGGGAGTTGCCAAAGGGGCTGGAACCAAAGGGGCCCAAATGGGCCGAGTCGCCCCTAGAAGTCAGAGCGGGGCTAGGAGCTGGTGTGGCGGGGGAAGTCGAAACGGACCGCGTCGTCCCTTAGAAGCCGGAGCGGCCGGGGCCCCCGGAGGCGGGGCGGGGGCCATCCTCACCCGAAATCGTCGTCCATAGACTTGAAGAAGAACTTATAGCTGGGTCGCTGCAAAACGCCCTTAAAGTCAGCCAACGTGACGCGCTCGGCGGGCAGGGGTAG